CATGAACCATCCAGTAAAAGAGGTGCAAAGTTGGTAGGTGATCAGCATTTGGGAAGAGCTATGATCACACAAAATTAGAAGTACTTAGCTATCATGGCTCTTGAGTTACAGGGGTGACGCTACTATTGCGCGATTAGTTTTTGGAAAAATAATCCCGTCCTCAAAGGGTTAAATGAATCATTTCAAATAAATAATAGTAGTCATTATCGACGTAATTTTTTAAGGTAAAAAGTATGCAACTGAATTATCGGATCCTGAAAATCATGAAGCACAACAATAAAAAATAAAAATAATTAATCATATACTTAAACTACTATCAGAGCCAAAATACAAGAGCAATTGTTCCTTTTTGAATAACTAAGTATCAAATAAGACAGAGACTTGCGATTTTCACCATTCGATAGCCAGGACTTGAGGTAGCCTTTCCATCAACAAAACCGATTTTCGAAAAATTTTCAAAATCAGTTTTCCACAGGATCCTTGAAAAAACAACTTGGATTTTCCGAAATTCAAATAGGAATCTATTGATTTTTGAGGGCATATATAGTCCGAAGTGTCCTCTACAAAACATAAATAACAAATTCACTTTTTTGTTCACAAGCAATATGGGATGATCAGAATCTGTTGGATTTATAATTCTAGGTACGTATGTTGGTCTCAATCTTGGCAAAAAATCAAAATTGTATGTATGTGAGCGGTAAATGATATTCCAGACAATACAACGCATGGATGACATCCTGAAGCTTTATATGAGACATTAGGCAGACAGTCACTTAAAAGATCAATTAACAATTAAGAAAGCGTACAAAGTAAGAAGGCAACGTTTCATTTATTCTGCGTGGGAGATTAAACCTGCGCCATGAAGATCTTTTCCCAAACGTTCCCACGTACGGCAAAATTTATGCGTGCATAGATCCCTTCTACGCTTTCTAATGCATGGATCCACATGGGAACCTATGCAAAGACACGCATGAATATGTTTCTCGAATTCCAATAAGTGGACGGACTCCCATGAATGTTAATGCGTGACGTCCAAATTCCATGCATGTTAACGCCTGGAAGTTAAATGCCCAGCGTGAACATGCATCGGAGTTCACGCGAAAATTGGAATCCGGTGAGCATATCCATGCGTGTCCTCGCATGGGTTTTCATGCATTAACAGGGTATAAAACGTTGGTATCCGTTCAGTATTCATCTATTCTGGACTCAACTCTTTTCGTATTTAATCGAATAATGGAAAGAGATTTTTGTTGAATGCATATGGTCTTTTTCTGGCAACATCTACACTCCACATCCACGAAAGTTCCAGGTCTTCGTCAATCATCATTCGGACGTGGCAGAATTTGTCCGAAAGCAGCCCGATCAGGCGATATTGACATATGGTAATCTCGGAAGTGGAACACAGACTTTCTATCATGCTGAATCTTGTAGTAATGTTATTTTTCAGAACAAAATACAAGAATCGATGATAAGCTAGGGGAATTAACCCATTTTTGGCTATTTTCATTAAAAACTAAAAACGTCATAGCTCAGTGAAAATCCATGCAAAGCTTCTTCAGAATACTATAATATACGTTAAGTTAGATGAGAATTCAGTTTTCAATTCGCTATCTAAAACTTCTGTATAGATTGTTAATGCCAATGCTGACTCACCCATTTGATCGTAAAGTAGAGCTGACAAGTAGTAAACATCGATCTGAGATGATGATGGCGGCTTTGAAGTTGCATGAAATAACCCATTGCTTGTTCGCAATACTCTGTTGCTTGAGTATACAAAGTTGGGCTAATAAAATATATTACACATTCGATATGGGTTCTAACCACTCAGTAAAATCCCGCGTTCTACCACCAAACAGTACCCTTAATGCTTGATCAGAATAACGATGTGATTGCAGATAATTGTTTTTTTCATAAATACTGTGGCTGAATAACGCAAAATCAATAGAATAACTTTATCATTTGATAGAAATTCGTCGAGTAATAATTTAAAATAAATTTCTGCACTATCATACATTGTCGCTTCATGTCTCTAATTGTACATTATTATACACTAGGTTTTTATAATATTCCACAGCTTCATTCAGTTTTTCGTTTATGATCCCATTCCATTTTATTAATGCAACATTCAAATTATCGTCAATACTTTCAATATAAAATGAAGGTCTTAAACAGACCGTCTCAATGGACCGCAAACATGCACGCCAGACGGCTTTCTGCTGATCGGAGAAGACTTGATCTCCGCCGAAAATGTTCACACTATCATTAATAGTAAGCGAGCGAGAGGTTCGACATCATCGGGCGCTCAAGAGAGAATTTGAGTGTGAGTGTTACTATGATCCATCTTGATCACGCGTGTATTGCACGGCGAGATGAGTTCGGGGTTCAAATCAAAGTAGGGTTTCTATGTTTGAGGAAAATCGATCGACTTCAACGGAATCTATGTCGAACACCAACTCGATCACTTCATTGTACTGACCAGCATCAGCATTGCCTCGATTCGCGTAGACACGAATTATGTGTCTAGGCACCGAGGGCGACAGAGCCGTTGCCGAGTCAATCTCCATCTGATCAACATCAAAATGGGTATGAGACTATCGCCGAGCAGTGCTTATATCAGCACCATTGCGTACGGTTTGTGTAAGATCGGCGTGCATGATGTTGGGAGGACTGGACAGTTTGAGGCGAGTTCAAAGAAATTTGTCCAGGATTTGCACAACTGCTACTGTAACATTTTGATCGGCTGCCGCAACACCTGCCATTGCTCATCAGTGGGAAAGTGGTAATAGACCATATCATTCGCGCGCGGTAGAAAGTAGTACAGATTCAAATTGCGTTTGAACGCTTTGTTGTCATCCAAATGGCTAGCGCCCCAAGCCAGATCAGCCAGATACCAAAGTTGATTGATCTCGACAGCGTTCCACGCATGACCGATCGGCGCAGGTACTTCATCGCATGAATCAAACATGTACGCTTTCGAACAGACGCTCACTTTCTCGCACCCAAGCACAGATCATAACACAGACGTTTGAAAAGATTTGCGTAGCCATCACACATGACGTTCTTCAGTTAAAAAACAGCCACTGCCGGCTTATCTGCACGCTTCTTGTCGATATACGGCACTGTGTCGTACTCAGTATTCCGTGCAATCCAGTAGAATACGATCCACAAACAATCGACGGCCGGTTTGTTCCTAGACAAGCCGCTCGACCGAATTCGGACGCCAGGCCTGCAGAATAATTCGACAATTACTATTATCAATCGTCTGCTGACGTATCGATGTAAATGGTTCTGGACCGGCAACGTCGATTTTGGCATTTTTCTTGATGTCGGCAATGATCGATGTGTCGGATAGATGAATGGTTGCGTCTTCAAACGAATCACTATGATCCTCGTCGTTGTCAGCGTCTGTAATGTGAGCGATTGCCGCGCTCGTTTTATCAATCGGAGAGTTCGGACGTTTCGAGCCAGAAATAAGAAAGAGGTTGCAATCTTCGTCCAAACTGATCGGCTCTCGAAGTCGATGTGTCTGCAATAAAGTCAGCGGAGAAGATGAATGCTTTTCGCTGGAATCGATATGATTCGAGACTGGTCGCAAGAAATAAGAATATTCTTCGTCTGAATCCACTTCTGTTAGACTTGGTGGTATCGGAGTCGATGTGAAATATATGTCGCCTTCGCAGAAATCGATTTTATCGGACATCGCCAGAAAGGGCCAGTCACTATTGGACTTGTCGTCGGCATCCGAGTCGCTCTCTTCTGTCAAGGACTCTACCAGGTTGTCATCGATTTCAGAATTGATAGGCTTTCGGAGCGGTGGCAGACAAGTTGCGGTAATTCGGCTGTACTCTTCTCTGGTATCGGTTCTTTTTGGCAACGACTTCAAATGAAGAATGGATCTCTGTTGCTCGCTTTCAGAATCTATTTTTTGTCGAATGGGTGGTAGCTGAGATGGAACTACGAGTTTGCTCGCGTTTGTCGGATAGACCGCCTTTGAAAGCAGCTGGAGGCGAAAATGAGTGAAGGTTTTGTCCTCTTCGTAGGTATCAACCTGATTCGGAAGTGGTGGAAGACGAGCAATAATCGATTGTATGCTATTTTTCTCGGCATCGGGCACTGCTGGCATCGGAGGTGAGAGACAGGAAATAGATCTTTTGCGCTGCTCCTCTAAATCGGTCGTATTTGGAGGTGGTTGCACAGGAATGTCGCTAACCTGAACGCCCCTGCAACAGCTCGACCCCATTCGGTTTTACTTCATGCGACGAGCGCTAGTTTCACCTGAATGTGTTCAATTGTTCCTTAGGTTTGCGAGTTTTTTGGAGACAAAAATAAAGATGAGCGTTGATGCGATAGTCTCTTTCTTACTTTCTTGGCTATTGCAACGTCACAAAGACATAGTGAAAGAAGAGAACATGAAAAAAAGATCAATTCACGCTCTTTTGATGGAAAGTCGTACTTCTTTTGGCCGCTGTTCGTACGATTCAATCATTTTCACCATTCTCACAGAGTCTATACGCACTGTCAGTATACCTGTTTGTTGATTTTCATTCCTGTTGCTACTCTTGACGTCCTTCTGCTCTTGTCAACTACCAATCGTCGACATTTTTCTCTTGAAAGTGAACACAGCATCTAATCCACTTTCGCATAATTCGTTGTCGTGTCCATTGATACTAATGCAATATTTAGATTTTGTATAATGAAACACAAGATCTTGCTCCTATACATATATGTGCGCAGACTTTCCATGGTCTGTTCGATCAAAGAAGTAAGAGTAGATGGGCTGGTAGGTTTTTGGCTCGTAGAATTGACTCGTGATATTTATTTTCTTCTTCAAATCGAGCCAAGACCGGCGAAAACAGTCAACTTTTAGGTATCATCCGCCGTCCAACGAGATAACCACAATTCAGTTCTTTGCCATTCAATTGAAAATGTAATATAAAACTTGGGAGATACGGTTTTGCATAACCCTAGTACCAAAACGAAATTAGTGGCACCTAAAAACTAATGAATTTCTACGGACTCTCTAAAAATTCAAATCATTTCGAAGAAAGATGTTTGATTTTTCACATTTGCTTGATCAGAAGGGCGTCTTTCCTAACAGTTTTAGCTTGATCGGCAAAGAACTGGTTGAGTTGTGGTCATCTCATAGTAAGGTTGATGCTAACTAAAATTTGACTGTTTTCACTGATTTGAAGAAGCAAATTAATATTATCAGACCATTTAGTGAGGCCAAAAACCTACGAATCCATCTGAAAGCACGATTTTCAGCTTTAATATTCTATTTTCCATCGCTTTCTATGCGTGGAGACTAGCGCTTGACTGGAAAAACAAGAAATATACCACTTGCTTGGTTTTGTACAGAAGATTTGGAGCTTGAATGAATGTAAATCGAAAATCAAAAGGATGGTTCTCAAACGACAATGTAGCTATCTAGAGATCGAAACCGGAGGGGATGCTTCTTATATGCTTCGGCGTTTCCCATTGTTGCCTACAAACTGACGGAAAAACGCAGATCACCAGCTGCGTGCCTTCGTTAGTTATATGCGTAGGATCCGTACACTATTATGTTTTGAAATGAAAAAATACTTTTCAAATTTCTCGAGTTTTTGAAAAGAAATTTGCTTATTAGTTCAAAAAACAAGTTTTCTGGTTGCAAAATTCTGACAACTGGCTCTGCGCTTTTCTTCATTATCTCTTTGTTCGAGGCTTTTACCACATCATTAGTGAAAAAGTCGCATACTACGTGGTACGAACATTCCTCGAACGGCTGCAGATCTACAAGTTAATCGTATGATTCGTTATTCGTGGAGGACTGATATTTGTCGCTCTCTACTAGGGATGTTCGGTTCTCAAGTTGGAACCGGAAAAAAAGAACCGCGTTCTGAGTACAGAATCGCGATTAGCGGTCTAGAACCGAAGAATCTTTTTTGAAACTGTAGCGATTTGATATTTGTACAATATTCTTCTTTATTTGTTGTTTAACTTTCTTATGTAAAAGAAATTGAGGAGAAAGATACCTTATGAACACTCAATGTAACATATTTATCGAAATTTAACTATAATATTTCTGGTTAAAAAACTCTCGGTTCCAAAAAAGTGGAACCATCTAAAGAACGGCGGTTCCGATTCTTACTGATAACTGAGAAAAAAGAGGCGCTTCGAAAATATAAGAACGACATTGGCTGTGACATAAATGCCGAATAGCTTAATATTTCTTACACTGAGTGTCTGACAGTCAGTCCGTCTAGCCACATGTTATCACCCAATGAGCGATTTTTAATTACCAAAGTTCATTTACTTTGTGACCGGAAAATGAACTTCGATAATTAAAAATTATTCATTGGGAAACCGCATGTGCAAGCGCAAAAATCTATTCCGAAAACATTATCCATTTAATTTTTTTGAGATGTAAACTTAAGTCTTTAAAAACATAAATGGTATGTTGTATTTATTCCCACTAGCCTCTTTGAATATCACGACAAAAACTTATTTTAGGTATCGATACGTTAGAATAACAAAATTGAAAACCGCTGCTTTTCTGAAAAAAAGAGAGTTAGTTGTAGTAAAAATTCCAGAGCAGCATCGAGAACGGCCATAACAGGCCTAGAAACCCTATAGTTTAGCAGTTATGAAATTTTTAATGTGAGGATCCTCGATGAAAAAAATACGTTAAAAACTGAATGAAATGATTTATTTAGATTTTCCGAAGACTCTACTGTTGATAGTGGAAAATATTATTGTCGAAAATTTTCTGTTTTTTTCCAACCGTCATTTTCCCAGGCGGTGGCCGTATTTTAATAAATCAATTACATTCATTTTGTAGAGCGTTTAATTTTCTGCAAAGTCCATACTAATAATTCCGAATTTTTACTATGAAGGAGGTATCAATTTGAATTTCGTCGTGATCCACTTTTTCTCAAAATTTTTCATATGGAATTTATACAGAATTAAACGCTCTACAAAATGAATGTAGATACGGAAATTCTTTATTTTTTTAAAATAAGGCCATCGCCTGGGGAAATGACGGTTGGAAAAAAACAGAAAATTTTCGACAATGATTTTTTCCACTATCAACAGTAGAGTCTTCGAAAAATCTAAATAAACCATTTTATTCAGTTTTTAACGTATTTTTTTGAAACATCGAAAACCTTCACTTTAAAAATTGCACAACTCCTAAACTATAGGGTTCCTAGGTCTGTCATGGCCGTTCTCAGTACTGTTTTGGAATCTGTCTTCAGTAAATGTGTTACAGCGCGTATACTACAATATTGCTGCGAAGCTAAAAGTACTTTATGGAACTTATCTCTTTTGCAACAGTTTACATCTTTTACCATTTACAACAAGTAACGCTCATCTTCAATGCACAGACCATTGGCTAAACGGACCGAATTGGACATCGACAGCGGGGGGAGAACGGCTAAGATATCCCTGCCGTCCGCCTTCAGAACCATGCGCAGACTGAAATACATGACATTCTGAGCATTTCCATCACCTTGCGTTTGATTTCCATCTCAGCATTACCAATAGGTCAATCCGCTTCATCACATGACGATTTTTCGGAATATCTAAGATGCACGTAATGCAAAGAAGTAGTGAATTTTATTTTTCGATGTATTATACATATTCTAATTCATCAGGTTGACTGAGTCGAGCGATATACGTTTCGAAAAATTTTGTTGATTTGCGTTTTTTGATGTGAAAATTCGAAAAAAACAAAGGACATCAGATAGGTTCCACTTTCGTAGAATGTAATCGACCCAGTCGATTTTAATTCGTTGTATATTCTGGCTGCCGTCCGAGTTATTGAGCTCAACAACTTTTCCTTTACCTGAACAATCTCGCACGAATTGATTTTTGAAACTTGATAATTGTGCATACGATGTCTTATAGAGATTATACTTATTGGCAACCTTGCCTGATGAAAAACTGAGTGACGGACTAGCCGCTTCGCCATTCAGAAACGCTGCTACAATTCCGAGATTCTTGTTTTTTAATGAAAACACCAACTCCATTTTATCTCCAGCATCAATCAGCATAACGCCTTGACTGCTCACAACCGAACTAGTGCCATCGAACAATGTTTGAATACAGTTACTATTTTCAGCATCTTTTCCATTTAAGCGCAACCATAAATGAACATCACCCGTTTCATTGCCGCCAACATGAGCCGAAGCTTGTACAAAATGTAAACCCGGTTCACGGTATATGACACTTGTTAAATCTTTACTTACAGAAATTTCGTGAGGTGTAGTAGAACTGCCATCGAGAGTAATAGTATTTATTTTGTGCAAAGCTAACTGTGTTTTTGAACTATGTAACTAAGCAAATGGAATTCGTTGTTGATCAGCATCTAATCGAATAATTGGTCAAATAACACTCAACTATCATTACTTGTAAAAAAATTAAGACCATCACTCAGTTATATTTTTGAACTTGAATACTTTCCAAAGGGAACCAGTTTTTCGTTCTTGTGCATAAATTAAATAAAATAAATAAAAGCATAAATTGCTGTTACAGCAATAAGGAAAACAACATTTTTAAATTGAAACACGATCATTCTCTTTCACTGATATTCAGTTTTTATTTATATTCAACGAATGTGCTATTAAACAGAATGAGTATCCACTTAAATTGAGATCAGTTTCTTTCGACAAGTAAGCAATGTTTTACTTGATAAATGTTGAATTAATTGTTTTTTCATCACCTAAACTAAGAAACGTACGTCAGGTTGTATTCACATTTTCTTATGCACGTCTCTGTATCGATTAAATGCATAATATAACTTGATCCCAAGTGCACACTGCGAAGGTTTTAAAGTTAACTGAGGGCATTTTTTCTGGAATTAGTTAGCTTTTACTAACGAGGGAACCGCCCGAGGCGAAATGCGTCGTTTTCTTTCGTTCATATATAAGTCGATAGAGGACCTCGAGCTGGTAAAAAGCCTAAAAGGGTTTTGGCAGATGGGTCTTCCTTCAAAAGGAGCAGTTTTTCTATTTTCCATAGTGAAAATCGCTCAAAAGATAGAACCTTAGAACTCAATCTAGTAAAGTCATAAAAGAACTATTATGCCCCCTCCTCCGTGCATACGTTATTTGTTGACGGATTGTAGTTTACACCGATTTAGTGGGATGAACAAGTCTTTTTGTCCATTGAAATGCACGTTCTGTCCACTTTCCTTCTCTGTCCATGGACATTTTTCAAAAAGTTGTACTTGATTTGTATGTTTTCTCACGTGCTATTATTTTTATGAAAATATGTACATGACGAATGAAAATCGTAAAGTACGAGCGCAGTTTAGCATATCAGTAAATCAATAGCCAATAATTGCTGTACGGCCTATCAACTACACTCATAAATGCAGTTTTTAATGAGCATTAATTTGGTATATAATACGCGGTGATATCATTTATATTTTAACCCTTTGACACCCGAATTTTTTCTACTGAACCAAATTTGATGAAACTTGGTATAAACTAACTAGGTGACATTAGGAAGCATGTGGTTAAATTACAATTAAAGAAAGCACGTGATCACTAGGTA